CGGGGGGGGGGGGGAGCCGTAATCTCTATAACAACTAATTTATTTTTTAAAAAATTTGGAAGTCCTTATGTGCGAGGCCCCCATAAAGCGTCGTAAGGGCGGTACTGATAGTAATATTCGTTGTACGGAAGACCTAATGACGTTGAATGTGCTTATGTGAAGCGTGATCACTTCATAATTAATTTAGATTTCGTTCAAGAAAAAGAGTTGTCCCTGTTCATTGAGAGCTGTTCCATGTTTGTAAGAACATGGTAGCAGTGAATAGAGCTGGTTTTGCTATAGCTCTGAAAAGAGCATATTTTTCTGTAATTTTGAAAAGAGTGATTTTTGTTCTGAAATGGCCTTCTAAACTATTAACAAACGGTAGCGATTAAAACGGATATCTGTATTTGTTAGTCCATATTTTATAAAAGTATTGACAGAAGAATACCAAATTCTTGAAAAATATAATTTGGTCATGAAAGGGTCATCGAAAGTCTTCATTTGGTCATCGAAATTTGATTAACAGTGCGCAGACAATATTAAGCTTGAAAAATTCGTCGAGATGAAAGAGATCACTTTGTAAACAGAAACCTTTGTTCAATGAAAAATACAGTTAAGGAATGTGTTCGACCGTACCGAGGACTCGAACAATGGAGCCCTATCATATTCACAAATAATATATTTTCCGTAAATTGGTCTCTCTCCTCGCCATCAGCAAATTGTTTTATTACCTTAGAAAGTCGAATACCCTACATCTGGACACCACATGCACTACACTCATAAACCACCTTCCGACCTCAGGATTTTCCCATCCCCTAATATAACAATTTTAGCAACAATTTCCCCACTTCGACTCCACCAGACAAACCCTACCACACGTCCCAAACACCAATCAACCGATACTCCCACCACTTCTCACACATTTCACACCACCAATCACGGTACACACCGAACTTATAAAAACACAAACACACACAGAAAAATTCAGATTCTATCAGAGATTCTATCACCAACTTTGAGACATCACGAAAAATAAAAAGTAACAGTCACCACCAATCAGCCAGTATTTGTCTATCGTGTAAAACATATATCTCTTTTTAACCCACCACAAATCTTATCTACAAATTTAAACAGCACTCGTGCCATTAGTTTGCCGCGAGAGCAGTTCGTGAATTCTTTGCGCACCGGTCGAATTAAGCATCGCGTCGCGAAGTTCGCAAATCACGAACAGTAGTTGTTACAATAATGAAAATTTTCAAAAAAATGTATGAAGCACAAATGGCTTTTACACCACGAACATTTTACGGCAACTACCTGTGGACAATTTGAGCAATGCATGGTTTCGATTTGGTTGAAGCTAAAGTCAACGGGATCATCAAAATGTTCCGATCTGCTACTAATGTAACCACACCGAAATCATACATACTTAAACAGTTTTTTGTACCTTGGTGCAGATAATTGGTTATGAATTAATGAGTGCATTTTGATAATTGTGTCCCGTGCATGTAAATTAATTTATAAATCTAATGTAAGTATAAGATCTGATATACGCGCGAAATTTTTCCACATTCTAAAACCGTATACAGTAAAGGTTCGGTAAGAGTTCCAAAGTCGGGACCGCTGTGTAACAGCTATGAAAAAGGTGGTAGGTTTCTCAAACTCTTTGTATTTTACTGACACCGACAGACGCAGAAAGAGACAGCAGACAAAGAAGAGAGAGGTATTGAAAGTCGAGCCAGTCCTAAAATATCAAACACCTACATATCGGTGAGACTCACGTGGGGGAAATCCTCATGGACACCCGCCCCCTGGGGAGCCGCGCCCGGTGCCGCCCATCTCGGGACCGCTATCCGGGGGAGCCTGATTCCACTCCCTGACTCTCCACGTTCTCGGGGCATTCCGCCGCTGTGGGGGAGTTTACACTCCCC